TTTTCTCCATTCAGAATGATGCTAGCCTGAGGCTTAGCATAGATAGCTTTTACAATGTCAAGGTAAGTTCCTGTTATCCCTAGTTTTTCTAATGTTTTGAACATAAAGGCATGCTGTACTTTGTTGAATGCTTTCTCTGTGTGTATCTAGATGATCATATGGTTCTTATCTTTAAGTCTATTGATGTGGTGAATAACATTTATTGATTTCTGAATATTGAACCATCCTTGCATCCCAGGGATGAATCCTACTTGATCATGGTACACAATTTTTTTGATGTGCTTTTGTATTCGATTTGCCAGAATTTTATTGAGGATTTTTGCATCTAGGTTTATTAGAGATATTGGTCTGTAGTTTTCTTTCTTTGAGGTGTCTTTGTCTGGTTTCGGGATCAGGGTGATGTTGGCCTCATAAAATGAATTTGGAAGAGCTCCCTCTTTTTCTATTTCCTGAAATAACTTGAAAAGTATTGGTATTAATTCAAGTACACTTATTCATACATAGAAACATTTATTCAACTACTATTTAGTACTCACCATGAGCATTCACTCTTTTAAAAAATATATAAATAATGGTGAAAAAGTAGAAATAATTCTTCCCTTAAGAAGTTCCCAGTCGTCACAGAAGAAAGACAAGTCCATATATAATGCAAACAAAACTGATGAGTAATTACTCTAAAATCATAATAAAGATAAAAAATTTTAAAAGGAGCTGTGGAGTTATTTGGGGATTCAGTTTAGAACATGTGATCCAAATAATAATATTTCTTTTCTTCTAGTTCTTTAGACCATTTTTCCATATAAAATATCAACACTTCTATGTTAAGAATGTTAAGAGAGAAAACTTTATTTATTTATTAATGATAATTGAATGAATAACTATTTATTACTTACTAGTTTTGAATGTTATGCCATATTATTTACATATAATTATAAATACATTATTATATAATATGTAATATTACATTTCAAAGTTGGTTGGGCTATTTTATATTTCTTTTCTCTACCACACTCTACAGTAAAGGTCTACAAAGTTTGAGGTTATCTCTTCTTTACTGTTGTGTCTCAGACCCTGGAAGAACAAAATACATAGAAGACACTCAATAAATATTTGTATACCAGGCATGAAGAATAAAAATCTAAGTATTATTAGATAGAATGAGCCAAAAATAATTAACGAAAGGAGTACAATATTTATAGGCAATGATATACTAAAGACCCAGACAATTTAGAGAATTTAGAGAACTTTGGTGAAAATAAAACAGGTATCATGTTTGAAATAAAGTGAAAATAAAAATAGCTCAAGAGAGCTTGGTAATATACATAGTACCCATTATTGGAGGCCCTTCTTAGAAATGTTTGGAATTTAAGTGCATCATAAATTCATTCGAGTGACTAAAATGTTTTAAGAATCTGATAATATTCTTAAATACAATTTCATTTATTTAGCTTATATTTAGTGTTGTTTCTTCAGGGTTGTTTATAGTTCTGGGCTACTAAGAATAAGACGGCTATACATGGATACGAACAAGTCTTGTGTGTACATATATTTCAATATTCTTTGGTAATGAAGAAGCAGAAGAGCATAATATGATAAAATTGTAAATTTATGAGAAACTACCATAAAATTTATCCAAAGCAGTCTCAACAACTTGAACTTATATCAATATTATATTATGGTTCTGGTTTTGCAACATTTTCAGGAGTACTTAACTATTTTAGAAATGCAAATAGGCATACAGTTGCATCTCATCGTGATCTTAATATACATATATTTGATGAAAATTAATGTTTATCATTTATGTGCTTATTGATTAATTCATATATCGTGTTGCTTGATTTGTCTATAGAAATTTTTTGCAATTTTTAAGGGTAATATATGTCTTATTAAGGTCTTAAGGATTTTTCATATTTTCTAGTTATCAATTTCCTTTCATATATTACAAACCATTTTTTAAACCTGTCTGAGTCTTGATTTATCATTTTGTTAAGATTTTAAAATGCATTTGAAATTTCAATTAAATTTTTAAAAGTAATTTTTAATTAGTTTAAGCTTCTTTATCCTGAGGTATTCTGGCCTAATGTTAGGCATGGGTTGTATATAAGTCTTTTGAATAATTTCACAAAATTTATAAATTTTATGTAATTTTTATGATTTGAAATTAAATTTTTTGGTGATCTGGAAATATAGCCTGTTATTTCAATATATTTACATTTATTTAGATTTGTTTTATAGCCTTGTATTATCTATGTTGGTGATTATTTAACATACATTTTAATAGAATGTGTTTTCTGGCTTTTTTTTTTGGTTATAATCTGCTAAAAGATCAATTACAGAAAATGTCTTAATAGTATTGTTTCAGTTCTCTCTTTAGTAAATATTATCTACTATTTCTTCTACTGATTGCTAATGGAAGAAAGAGAACATGTCAAATTATGATTGTGACCTTAACCTTTTCTATTTTCAGATTTTTCACCTTTGCGACATGTAGTTTTAAATATAGTTTTTATGATCATGGACATTTAAAGTGAATAATTGGAGCCTTTGTTATTAAAAAGTCTAATTTTTTGAGGTCAACTTTGATATTATGTAGCTCTCAGATTTCTTTGATTGGAATTTGAATTATATTTACCTTTAAATGTGTTTATCTTGGAGAGAAGATAGTTGACTTTGTATTTTTTAATCTTTTATTGTATTTTAAGCCTTCTAATTCAAACTTTTAAATCAATTACAAATTACTTAATTGCAAGTAGAATTTGTATTCTGATTTCTCCCCAAAAGTCAATGTCCACCTGGAAACAGAATATGACCTTATTTGGAAATTATTTCTTTGTGGAAATAGTCAAGTCATTGGATTTAGGTGTTCTAAAATTAGGTATTCTGGTGTCTTTACATGAAAAGAAAAAAAATGTGGACAAAGAAACAGATGCAGAATAAGAATACAGCCATGGATTATGAGCTAGAGATATATTCCCACAAGCCAAGGAACACCATAGATGGCTGACAAAAAAACCAGAAGACAGAAAAGGCTGGGAGAGATTCTTGTCATAAGATTTTGGAGAGAATATGATTGATTCCTGGATTTCAGATATTCAGCCCTCAAACTGTGGGAGAATTCAGTCTTTTTAATTTCAAGTATGTTATAATGTCAGCATTAAGAAATTACTGTAGACTTTGTGGCAAGAATTATAACACTACTTTAACCAAATATCTAAAATATGAAAGTATATTTGAAGTGAGAAAAGGGTAAATGCTGTAAGATTTTTTAGGCATAATATAACAAATATCTTAGATTCCCTTCCAGAGATTGTTGACAGAAGTATGGATGTAGAATATTATGATAAGGAGGGCATAGAAAGAGAGCTACAGAGAGAGCGTTTAAAAAAATACATATATCTTCATAAATAGAATATGAATACTAAAGTTGATTCAGATGAAATGAAGAACAAGTCTTTAGGCACAAGGGAAAAGCGATTTTGTTATGAAATGGAAGAAAACTTGACTGAATCTTGTGATATAATTAGATGGAAAGTAAACCTTGTGCAACATGAATGTGCTTATTTCACTGAGCTCTCCAAGCAAAATATAAAACCTATGAACTGGCTTGATCTTTCAATTAATGGTAAGTATGAGAAAAAAATAGATAAATTAAGAAAGGGATTTTCAAGAAAAAAATAGCACAATGATTATATGGTTAATTTTTGTTACTATAATGAAATACCTCAGGCTGAGTAATGCTTAAATAAAAGGAGATTTATTTGGCTCACACACAATTTTGGTGTATGAAAAGGTCCAAATAGCATTGTGCTATTATAATAGTTAGGGCTTTCTAGCTCCTACATTGTTGGAATAACTTTCAGTCTCAGCTAGCAGCTACTAGCAGCTCCTAGCAGCTCGGAAGTGCCTGAAATATCCACCTTCCTTCAGGCCTGATAGGAAGGCCTACAGGATAGGGTAAAACCACATCCTCAGCACTTGTGGTTAGCATTGCCAAACTGCCCAGTCAAGAAACTGAGAGTCAGGGCTTCAGGGCATGAAACCCCTGACTTAGTAAGGGCTAAAGACCCTTCCAGATTGCTTTCTGCCATGACAGCAATATTTAGAGTTCCTCACTGTGTGGTTACATTAGGCAGAAGATGATTGGCTTATGGAGATTATCTTGCTTATGTAGGATTGATGGGCATGCCCTACTCAAACCCTATAACAGTTGTGTGCATTCCAAAAATAAACTGAGCTACTGGACCATGGCCTGAGGCAGGTCTCTGCCAGTTCTCTCCAGCTCTCTGAGTCTGTGTGTTGATTCCATATCTCTACCACCCCCCCTCCACAAGGTTGCCATCATGATCACAAAGGGACTAGGAACATATTCAATAAATGATGGATATGTAGAAAGGGAAGCAGGAAAATGTGAAAGGGCCTGAATATGTGCAGTAGCCTCCCATTATAATAATAAACTTGTGAGGACTAAGGCCTGTATTATGTTAATCTCCTCTTAAAGTGATGTACCCATTGAAGCCAGGGGACAAAAAGACAGTCAATGTAGATAATAAATAATTGGGTCCTATCTGGAAGGTGGGGGACTGGTTGGAAATAAAATGCTGAATTTTTCTCTCCTCCTTCCAAAGCCCTTCCCTCTGCTCCTGCTCCAACCTGTTGCTAAGGTAACCTGTCCCAGGAATAGTCCCTCCCTGCAGGACTTGTAGGAGTTGTTCACTAATACCTTCTGGCTGTTACCTTACTGTCTGGTCCACTCCAAAATTTGGCTCTCACCATTTGGCTCACCCTGGCCACTGGTCACTTACACAGGATAGGAGGAGATAAGGGAGAAGGAGGGTATGAGGCCAAAGAAAATCTAAGAGGTATAAAAGGGGCAGGGCATTCCCACTTCTTTGGATACCTGCTATGGTCCCTGTCTTCCTCCCCAGAAGTCTGTTTCTATTCTTTAAATAAAACTTGCTTTCTCTACAAGTATCTCAGCGATTTTTACATGTTCAAACTTTAACACCTGGGGAAATGGAACTCACTGTCACTGGTTACCGGTGGTATCACTATGACTTGACCACCTTGCACTAGGTCCTACCTTTTAAAAATCGAACACTTCTCAGTATCCCTGCATTTGGGGGACATGTTTTTATGGGGACAGAACACATTCAAACCAAAGCAAAGATTTAGCAAATAATTGTCCTATCCAGACATCTTGCTCTGAAAGCAGAGATTCACTTAAGACATTAGGCATATAACCATGCAACCATCTCATTAAAGTGCAGAAATAAAGATGAGGTTTTTTTTCAGAAACTATTGATAGAGAGCCCTCTTATAAAATGGCTACAATTCTACCAAAATCTATGATAGAGTATTGAGAATTTTATGTTAGTAGAGACACTGCCAATGTGAACTGAAGAGAGCAGAGCTGGGGAAAAATGAATAAAGAATTATTTAAAGACCACAACCATTACTGAAGATCCAAGAGAGTGTAGAGCCATAACTGACAATCAACATGGTAAGGTTGCCACTCTAGGCCCAGAGGCAGGGTATCCATGGGTCTTGAGGATCAGTGGCTGGAGTTAGCAGAACCTCCATGTGCACAGAGGGGTGAATTACCAAGTTATAAAGAATTATTCTCAATCCTAAAATCCTAATGAAAGATTCCCTGCTGGATTTCAGATTTGCCCAACACCCATAAGCCTTACTTCTTCCTGTATCTCTCTTTTGGGATGGAAATGATGGTCTCATACTTATCCTGCCAATGTTAGAAGCAGACTATTTCCTAGTCTTACAGGAACACAGATGGTGAGAACTATTTCCCCAGGAATGAGAAGTTTCACTCGTTCATGATTTACATGATTTAAATGCTGAGTTTGGGAACTTTTTAGAATTGATGAGTGAGAAAAGTGTTTAGGGAATTTGAGGATGGGGTGAATGCATTTGGAATTTGAGAATGGTGCTGATTTATAGCAGCCAGAGGGAAGATTATACTGGGCTGAATGATGTTCGCCCAAAATTTATATCCACCCACAGCCTATGTATGTGACTTTGTTTGGGAACTTTATCTGAAGTGTTTTCAGATGCACTCAAGTTAAAATGAAGTCATGCTAAGTTAAAGTGGAAAATAAATCCAATGGGACTGGTGTCTTCATACTGAGAGTTGCTGGGGATATAGATTAGTTGTAGAGTGAACTTAGCAAGCAAGAAGCCCTGTATTCAATCCCCAGTCCTTAATAAAAAAAAAAAAAAGGAGAAGGAGGAGGAGGCGGAGGAGGAGGAGAAGGAGGAGGACAACAAAGATGACTAGTGTGAAGATGGTAAGGAGGAGAAAGGGAAGCTGAAGAGGATGAGGAAGGAAGGGTAATCTGGACAGAGACTCAATTGCACAGACAGAACATGATCATTTTGAGATAGAGGTACAAATTGTTATTCTTTCATAAATTGCCAGGGGTCACCTGCAATTCCAGAACTGAGAAGAGACAAGGAGAATTTCTTCCCTAGAGCCTTTGGAGGAACATTTTCTTGACATCAAGGTTTTGATGTCAAGATATGAATTTTGGATTTCCATTTCTCAGAACTGTGGAGAACACATTTCCACAGTTTTAAGCCACACTTAAAAAAAATAGTTTCTCAGGGAATTTATAGAAAACTAAGAGAGTAAGTTTTAAGCCTACCATGTTTATATTTCTTTTGTGTGTTTGCATGTGTGCAATCATTTTCTCCAGGCCACTTTCACTCTCTCTGGCTCATGTGTATAACTTCCTACTCAGCAAGAGATAAGTGAAGAGTTACATAGCTTTCTATTATTGCACTGCTATTATTACCTTGTACTTTAAAATTCTAGATATTTTATTCTAGACTTTTCATTTTTGTTTTCATATTATTATTATTATTGATATTTCCTATGTTTGTAGTGATGTAATTTATTTTTAAAGATAGTTTTTTTTATCCATTGAATTCTTTTTATAATACATGATTTGAAGTTATGTTTGATAAATCCAGTATGTGGATTAATTCATAGTCAGCTCATCTTCAATATTTTTTCCTATTACTTTGCAGATCATAAATTACTTTTGAAAACTGGATATTTTAGATAATATTTTGCAACAACTCTGCATTTTGCCATTTCTTCTCCTTTGTTGGTAGTTGTCACCCTATAGATTTTACTTATTTATTTTACTTTTTGTTAATTTATTAATTTGTGCATTGACTTTTTTATGTTAGTAACTTGCTTGGACTTAATCTGTGGAATTTGTAGCCCTTGTAGAATATAACTGCACATATCACTATGTTTTTCCTTTTTTTTTTTTAATTCCTGCATCCTTAGTATCACTGTATTGTTTACAGAGATAGTGGTAAAACCAGAATTGATAAGAAGCTGAGTTTAAATTTAAAAAATAAGAGGCTTCCAACCTCTAATAATAAGTTTATGTATGAGTTAGAGGAAGGCAAGGTACTGAGGAATTAAAATGATCAAATTATGTATGAGCATGTGAAAATATGGCATAATGAATTCCAAATTATATAAAATTATAATTCAGCAATAAAATAAAAATATATTAAAATACATAGATTTTAAAAATAAAAAGTAAATTTCAAATCATTTTCATATTTTACTCAGCAATTATTTTCTCATTTTCTCTAGACCACCTTTGGTCTCTCTGGCTCATATATGTAGCTTCCTACTCAGCAAGAGATAAGTGAAGAGTTATGTAGCTTTTTATTTCTCTCTAATTTCAAAGATCACACATTAATTTTTGGCTGAATTATTAGTGATTTAACCATGATATGAATCCCAGGCTAGCAGAGTCATGGGTTTTCTTATTGCTTTTGTCAAGAGTTTTTTACTGACAGTACAGCCACGCATAGGTATTCCCTGTCTTCTCCAAATCAAGTCTGCTCTGTTAGAGTAAAGTTGCTGTTTATTTTTATTTTTATTTATTGTTTGTTGTTGTTTTTCCATTTCCAGCCCACTATGGTAATACTACTACATCAACTCCCATTTTTACCCCGTATACAGATTGCAGAATCATATCTGTTACACATCCACGTTTTTACATAGTGTCATACTAGTGACTGTTGTATTCTGCTGCCTTTCCTATCCTCTACTATATCAAGGTTGCTTGGAAGAAGCTGGAGTCAAGGCAATGGTAAACAAGCATTACCCCAGACAAAAAGGCTGCAGACTCCCAATCTTCTCATCCATAACTTAACAATTTTTCTTGAACACTATCACATTCTGATTTGCCTTTGTTCAGTTTACAAGGATATGAAATAATGGGAGTTTTGGGGGACAACTTTTAACATTTTTTAACTGTTATTAATGATTTCAAAGAGACAATTTGCCAATGCGCTCATTCCACCAGACATTGAAATCAAAAGACTGTAGGATATATTTAGGCTGTTTTAGAATACATACACACAGACACACAGGCACACACACACACACACACACACACACACACA